TCGTTCAGCGCCTCGTTTCGCTTCGACGGCTTTCAGCCTCACCCTGCTTCATTCTACTACGTTAATAAATCATTAGCTCATCCATGAACATGATTTCTGCCCGAGCCCCGTCGGATTGCATCGGCTGTGGGGATGAAGACCACAACTCCCATGATTCCACACTCAGTCACGGCGTCATCAAACTACGCCTTTGTCTATTTGCTTATTTTGAATACGCGACTTCTAGCGGCGAAAATTACATATTGTGCCTTTAAAGCCATTATTGTGTTAAATGAGAAAGTATCAAATAAACATTACAAATAGTTGCTTTAGAAAGAAATACTTTATTTGATTCAACATAAAAATTTATTACACAAACATTTAGGCTACAGCCGGCCTAACATAAACTATGAAACAGAAAAAGAAGATACTTTGAGAAACATCTCAGTATGTTTTGGCTCATACAAATAAAGTCATTGGTAACCAAAACAGCTTAGTTACCAACAGTCTTCACCTTCTTTTATGTTGTGCAAAAGAAAGTCATACAGGTTTGAAACAACATGATTGATGACAGAATTAATTTTTTGGGGTGAACTATCCCTTTAATGTTTTTATTTTATTTTATTTTTAATGAAATGATACTCTAAATAAGAAACTTAACACTGCCAGCAGATGGTGGTAAATGTCTTTATGAGTCATTAATTCATTTGATTTGTTCAAACGGCTGATTCATTCAGGAATGAAGTAAACGGCTCTCTTTATGAATGGGGCTTTGAATCATTGATTCACACGATTCGTTCAAACCGCTGATTCATTCAGAAACTAAACACAGCTGTGTTGCTCAGAGACGCACAACAGTTCTGCTGTGGCTTTAAAGGTAATATGTTCTCTGCAAAATTGAGCAAAGCAGACAATGTGTTTAAAATATTACACAACATTAACGTCTTATTTACTGAACTGTTGTATAAAATCACATTTGCATTCGTTATATGCTGTAATGTATCGCTTATCACGTGATATAAATATGAGACGAAAACTCATACAGGGGCATTTTTTGCCTCAATATCTTGAATTTTAGAGCATAACTGCATTTATGGAGTTGCTGCCCTCCATCATATTTGTCAACAGTCAGCTGTATGAAATGTTAGATGATGTACAGGTCTGGGGGCGGGGCTAGTGCGTTAACTGCGTTAAAATATTTTAATCGTGTTATTTTTTCATAACTAATTAAGTTAACGTGTTAAACTGACAGCCCTAATCAGAATATTTTACCATTTCAAGATAACAAATTTTTACATTTAGTCCACTTCAAAACGTGACTACAACATGATTCAAGTAACGTTCTCTTTATTAACCATCTGGTTAAAGAAAGTTCTTGTTCCAAGTTCATCACACATGAAGTTCAACATGATGTAAACGTAAAACAAATTCACTTGTTAAATATCTTTGCAGAAAAAAAAATTCCATGAAATGTGAAGGAAAATATTGTCTTAAACATATCCTGTATGTTCAGAAATGATATAAAATCAGAAAAATGCTCAATATTTTTTAGCCGAAATGTGGAGATTTCATTTTAGAGGTCAGCTCAAAAAGTCAGGATAATTATTAACAGTAAATGAAAATATCAAATGTCGTCATCGTGCAAGCATCAAATATCAGACATACAGTAGTATTTCTGCACAGCTTTCTGCTTTTCCATTGGATTGCTATGTAAACATGAGCTTGTCATTTGTTTACATATTATTATATTTTCTGTTTTCATTTCAGTTTTAGTTAAAGTTGTATCAATTTTAGTAATTAATAATTTTTAGTAGGTCTTGTGTTTTTTATGTCTGTGTAGTTTTTAATTATTTTTATTTTAGTAATTAATTATTTATAGTAGGTCTTGTTTTTATGTCTTTATAGATTATCTTATTATTAGCATTGGTGTATTGCCAGTATGTATAATTGTAACTAGGGCTGTCAAGCAATTAAAATTTGTAATCTAATTAATTACATAATATGCTGATTAATTCATCTAATTAATCGCAAATTAGTCACACATCAATTTTTGCTGAGAAAATACTCCCCGAAAATATAAAGTCATTATTGTGTTAGATGAGAAAAGCATTGAATACATTACAAAAAGTAGCTTCAGAAAGAAATACTTTGATTCAACATTGATATAATGTGTTTTTTTAATTGAATATTGAAATAATAAACAAATTAAATGAAACCGTAAATATGACACTAAAAGCGCCAGATTCCTTAATGAGTGAGTCATTGAATCATTCATTCAACCAATCCGTTCAAACAGCTGATTCATTCATAAAGGAAGCAAGTGGCTCTTTTTATGAATGAGTCATTGAATCATTCGCTCACTTGATTCATTCAAAACTGTGGATTTGTTAATTCAGTCAGTCATCCTGCATCATGTTAATCTCAGTGTAAGATGTGTAAGATTTTATTTTTTTCATAATTAATCACACTCGACAGCCCTACACTGAAAAAAAAATTTCTGTAAAATTTACGGTAAAAAACCAGCAGCTGTGGTTGCCAGAATTATTTATTTCAACAAAAAATCATCAAATTTGAAATGTAACAAAGGGAATTCTGGGAATGTCAATTTACGGTTATTCACTGTAAATGATACATTCTTTTTCACTTCCAGAAACGGTATACTACCGTAAAATAAAATTTTTACAATGACTACCGATGTCCAATACAGTTTTTCACCGTATATAGAAGGGGAACTTAGGGCTGTGCAATTAATCGAAATACGGTTTCGATTTCGATTTTGGCCTCCAACTATTATGAAAATACAATAATCGAGATAAAACGATTATTCCGACCCCTTTCTATCAGTGCGCTTTCGCTCCTCCATAAAAGCCCAATTTCATGTGCAAATCAGTAAAATCATGTAACGTGACTTGAAAAATGGGACGTGCTTGATTTATTAAAGTTTATTAAATTTATTCATGTTTTTAAAAGCGCGAAACAGAACGTGCGCTGTTCCTCGAGAGGATTACTGTAAATGCGCTCAGAAGACGGAGCAGAACACAGACATATAAAGTCATCTTTTAGCTGAACGTATGCGCCTAAACGGTCAAATACACACAAACATGTGTCAAAATGCAGTGCTTAGTGATTATTCACGTAATCCCTTGTCGGTTATGCAATAAATGAACGTAAACAGTTGAGAATGAAAATACGTGCATAACAGTAAATTGAATACGTGCAGCTCTTAAAGTGTCAGCAGCCTAAAATTCCTGCTGTGACTGTGTGCTTAATATTAATCAAACAACAAAGACAAAGTCACTCACTGCTCTTTACTGAACGACTTTTGTAGCTTTAATAAGTAACAAATGAAGTTTAATTCTTACAGTGAAGATTATGCTGTTATATATGGCTATCTTTAAATAAAGCATTCATTTAAAGATTTGGTCATATGGCCCACTTATAAACGTGTTAAATAATTGTGATTACAATATTGACCGAAATAATAATAATAATGATTTTTGTCATAATCGAGCGAGCAGCCCTAGGGGAACTTACCGTTAACCATTCTAGCAGGTTTTGACTGTAGCATTATTACAGTCTTTTATCGTTAAATTCACGGTCATTTTTTACAGTGTAGTTGTAAACATTTGCTGATATTTTTATTCAAAACTGCGATTCCTCGATTTAAAATAAAAATGTGGCAAAATACCAGCTGTAGGTGATGTTTGTGTGTTCTTGAACAGGTCCAGATCAACGACAAGGACGATAAGGAGGGCGAGTACCGGCACGCCTTCGAGATCATCCTGAAGGACGGGAACAGCGTGGTGTTCGCCGCTAAATCTGCGGAGGAGAAGAACGGCTGGATGGCGGCGCTGATCTCGCTGCAGTACCGCTCCACGCTGGAGCGCATGCTGGACACGGCCATGCTGCAGGAGGAGAAGGAGGAGCAGATGAGGCTCCCCGGGGCCGAGGTGTACTGCTTCGCCCAGCCCGACTCCGAGGAGAACGTCGTGTTCGAGGAGAACGTCCAGTCCAAATCCGGCATTCCCATCATCAAAGCCGGAACGGTGCTGAAGCTCATCGAGCGCCTGACCTTCCACATGTACGCTGGTGAGTGAACAGTGATTTCTGAAGATCATGTGACACTGAAGACTGCAGTAATGATGCTGAAAATACAGCTGCGCATCACAGAAATACATTACAGTTTAACAGAGATTCACATAGAAAACAGCTGTTTTAAACTATAATAATATTTCACAATTTTTACTGTATTTTTGATCAAATTAACGCAGCCTTGGTGAGCAGAAGAGACTTCTTTCAAAAACAATGCACGATACTTGAGCAATACAGCATTTATTCATTTTAATGTTAATTTATACATTTAATAATACATTTAAAGTCAAAAGTTGTATCTTTTACAGTGGTATTTTTACTGTCATTGAGAGGCTATTGTAAATAATATCTTCAATGAGTTTTTATTTTTACAATTTGTTTTCATTTTAATTTTAGCTGAAGTTTTAGTAATTTTGCTGTGTTTTTGTCATTTTTAGTATTTTTTATATTTACTGTAATAACCCTGATCTGATATTAATAGTTAATACAGTGTGAGCTAACATCAACAATTGTATTTTTATTAACTAACATTAACAAAGGTTAATAAGTGCTGTAAAAAATATATTGCTTTATGTTAACTAATGCATTAACTAATCTTAACAAATGAGAAAAAAATCAACATAATTCTAATTTTATTTCACCTCTTCAACAGCTGTTTAAGCAGGAAAAGTCGTTAAATGAACACAATCTTAAAGGAACTTAAGTATTTTCATAATAAATGAAAATTTTACTAGTTATGTCAGGTTCTAAAATATTTTGTCAGGTAGAAATCGTGAGTGAAAATAATTTTAGATGTCCTAATCCGTAATCCTGATGCAGTAAATCACCAACAGCTGGAGTAGTCCTGGTGGTTTTGAATATGATTGTGGACAGCGATGGAGTCTGAAACCAGACTCAGTTTGACCCAAACAAGTGCACTGGTCTGGTTCGGTCTGGTTTTGTGTGTTGTTCTGCTGGATTTTGTGCAGGCAGTAGTTTCTGGGCCGTACAGGCTGTTTACCAGCCAGCGCTAATGCGCATTACTGATGTGTTTCACAACCTCCAGTCTCAACAACAGAGCCGTGAAGATCCAGTCTGCTTTCTGCTCGTTCCACAGCGTCTGTAAACACTCGGCTGCTTTACGTCACAGATCACAGTGCGGTGACCTGCTTTGTTTCAGTGTCGATAAAACAACTACAGCTGATAAGAGAGAAAAACAAGCGCTGTTCTAGAACAAGTTCAGCTGTTATCTGTGCAGTGTCCTTCCTTGTGTGTGTGTGTGTATATGTGTATATATATATATATATATATGTATATTAGGGCTGTGTATCACCAGCAAAGTCACGATACAATACGCATCACGATACAGGACTGCACTGAATTTCACCTCAGCAAAATTTAGTAAAACAGCTGTTTATTAAGCACTGCATACTATAGGGCCATTGCTAACTATTGGCAGAGCAGGCAGTTGACCTCTGCATTATGAAGGGCCTCCGGAACTGTACAACAGTACAATAATATAGGTAATGGCATATGTTTCATGTTTACATATTAAGCGCAGTCCACTGCTGCACATGTGCCACAATATCGATACAGAGACACGATACAAATCTCTGTGACAATACATTGTTGCTAAACTGTCTGTAATTCTGCTGTGTGTTGGTGATGGTGTGACGAGTGATGTCCTGCTGTCTGTGAGCGGGTCACTCTGCGTTCCTCTGTTGGGTGTTTTCTTGCTCCGCTCACCCGAGTACACTTCCTCCCGCAGAGGGTCGGGGTAAATATAGAGCCGCTTTCCACGCGACGCTCCAGCAGCCGCGGTTTCTAGTAAGGCACAGGAAACAGACTTTCGGAGGAAAACTGTGTGTGTGAAGGGGAAAAGGTGTGTCCTGTGTCACACACAGCGCTGCGGATCGTTTAGGGTGTGGATGAGGGTTAATGATCGTTAGTGAGTGACCCTCACGTAAATGAGTGAGTGTGTGTGTGTGTGAGCATTCTCTCTGTCCAGATTTTAGATTCAGAATCCAGCCTGTCCTGTATCTATTTTAAGTGTGTGTGTGTGTGTGTGAGAGAGTGTGTGTGTGTGTGTGTGAGAGTGAGAGTGTGAGAGAGTGAGAGTGTGTGTGTGAGTGAGTGAGTGTGAGAGTGTGAGAGTGAGTGTGAGAGT